TCCTGGAGAGGTCAACTGGAGTCTCAGTGTCCTGTTTTGCAAACAAACTGCATCGGGGTAAATGATGGATTTAAGCATCAGGTTAGCCTTTCAGCTAGGGGCCATTTTAGCTACTTCTACAACAGAACCTCGTCGGTCAACTTGGGTTGGCTATCAGACAGACAAAACTAAATAAGCATCCCAATGCAATAAGAATTCATTGGAGAAATATGATTAGGCACTTCACAACACTATCAAAGTTTCAAGTATAAAGTTCGCCAGTCTCTAAGGAGGTATAATGTAAGTATAAACGAGTAGGAAAATTCAAATCTGCTCTAAAAGTGTACAATGGAAACACACAACAAAAGTGCATCTTTCCAGATGTCCATTGGAACAAGAAGGGGAAAATCAAATCAACTTTAAAACTTAGCTAGGTTTCTGCTTAAAAAGTGGTAATATAATATAAAAAATAAAAGCAGTGAGGCAATGAACACAAAGCAACAGATGCACACAAAAAAAGGATAGCTGAGCTGAACAGACATATTTTGGCTTATTAAAACAGCTTACAACAAATGTTTTGTAAAGTAAAACCATGTGCAGGTAACATGCCATACATTTGCATGACTGTGAGAATCATCTCAGCTTTTGCTTTGACTCTAAACTTAGAAACAGGGGGCATTGCAACAACATGTATTCAATAACAAAGTGGTTTTGGGGGGAAATGCTCCGTGCCAAACAGCCTCACTGAGTGTCTCTTCCCTGCTGCCTATTAATATCCAGCCAGCTATCTGGCATTGAATAGATAAGAGTCAGCTTTAGTTGAATAAACAGTCTTAGCAAATACTCAAGAATCATGCAATTCTCTCAATGTTTTCAAGAATGTGGAACATTATTACGGATGTCATTAAGCACAGTTACAGATTTAACCACACCACACCAAATATTGCGACAAGGGGAGATGCCGGCTCCTACACATCATCAAGTCATCTTTGCCGAGACTGAAGGGAAGATAACTCCCCGAAGACAGCCCCAGGAGATCAGGGCTGCATCGCTTCTGTGTGCACTGAAACTCTGAAAGCTGACTCACACTGTGTTTGATCATATCTTTGGCACCAATACAATATGATGCAAACATGGAGGAGAGGAAACCAGGTCATGCTCAAAGCCCTTCAGAGATTTCTTACTTTGTGCACACACTCCCCTCACTCCACCAAATCTCCTCTTTTTCCGCTGTAAATTCCCTGTCTTTGTTGTATTGCATTATTGCCGAGCGTTTTTTCTTCCAAGCAGTGCCTGTAACTGTTTTGGTCAAAGAGATCATTTGATGTCATGCTAACACTCCTCGTTCCCACTTCCCCTGCCTGCACTGCAGTTTTCTTCCTTTTTTCTCCGTCTACCATTTGCCTCTTCTCTACTTTCTCAACATTTCTCCATCTTCTTTCCTCATTTGTCCTCTTTCCCCCCCTCCTCTCCTCTTCTCTAAAGAGCCACATAAATGTGAACTCACCTGAAAAAATGACTTCCCCTTCATTCCTCACGTCCTTAATTAAACTAGCCTCATGACATTGACATGACACAGGAGAATAGCTCGGCACGGGTACAAACAGGGCGTGAAAACACATAGTTCCTTTTTATAATTTGATTCAGAGTCATTGGAGCATGTTTCCCCCCATGCTTTTGCTTTTAATTTCTTTGTTGATGAATAAGTGATGAGACGCTGTTGTTGTTATTGGCCTTGCCACAGCATTTGTATGCAGACTGAGACAATATGTAGACCAACTTTTTTTCCCTCTCTCCATGCGTTGCTGATGAACAGTTTGTCTGCACTTAATAAATCACGCAGTGATCATTTCATTTTGATTGGGTGAGCGGCTGCATGAGTTGTGGCCTCGGAGTGACTTCGAGAAAATGGAGTCAGGCCCGGCTAATAAGAAATGAACCACATGCAGACTGATGGCGGCACCAAAGTGCATTTCTCCTCTGTGGCCATTAATGTCAACTCTCACAGAGAAATGATGGCATTTATTAAGAGTGAGTGTGTTAAGACGGAAAGTATGCTCTTGAGAGTGTGTGTGTGTGTGTGTGTGTGTCCATGCATGTGGAAGCACTGCAGTGCAGACAACACTCAGTAGCTATGGCATTAGTAATCTCCGGCTGGATTTATATTCCACCTCGTTTAAAACACAGCACAAATGGAAGAGGTCAGCAGTGATCAGACTGGCTGAGGAATAATATTTCTGCAGCAGGTATGGGTTCACACCAGGACCTGAGAGGGACACACTCTCCAATGTTGTCACCAAATTGAAGCGTGATACACTTTAAAACATTTCAAGTATGTGACAAGTCAAAGAGAGTTTTATTCTTGGAAGACATATACTATTTGAGAGATAATCTTATCTGATTTTAAATGGAGAGTTTACATTTCCTGTATGAGTGGCTCCAGCTGGACTGTTCATGAGTGTTCATACAAAAAAATCATATTCAGCACAGTAAAATGTAAGAGAACCAGACCCTATAGCAGGGGTAGCCAACACGGTGCCCGCGGGCATTTAGTCGCCCGCGGGGCATGTTGTAAAAATAGCTCGCCAAGAAAATCCAAAATGTAAAAAATACACCAAACAAAAAGGGAAATGTAATTAAAAGAATCTACCCTGTGCATGAACGAAACCTCAATCATAGCGAACTCTATCTACTTACTACAACTCTATATCTATCTAACACCCCTTCTCCCCCCACCCCACAATGAATATCGACCAATCACGTTCTTGCTTGATTTGCGGGACCAGCGTTGCAGTCGGGAAGAAAAGCAATGTGGAGCGGCAGCCCACCGCTTCATAAGGAGTGTGACCGTGATTTTCCTTCTGGCAGAATCTACACATCAGCCCCATTGAACAGCCGTCATGCCAGCCTATACAGCACATGAGGGTCTGTCTGTCTGTTGCAACTTGCATACATATTTATTGCACTTGACGCACACACATACGCATGGCGTAATTTCCACTGAGGACAGGGGGGACATGTCCCCAGCTCTTTTAGAGATCCCGTTTGTGTCCCCCCACTTTACAAATATGTTTATTATTTTTTAACGCAAGCCGTCATCGCCACGGAGGAGCACACAGCCTCTGTGAGCGACCGAGACAGAGGGAGAAAGAGAGAGCGAGCGAGAGAGCTAGGGAGGGAGGGAGAGAGAGAGTGAGCGAGCGAGAGAGCACACCTTTATCTATTTAATATAGATAAAGTAAGAAATCCTTCCAGTGTGTATAGGACAGTAAAAAAAAACAAAAAAAAGTTTAAAAGGGGAGTGATTAGTCAAATATGCATAAATAGAAAGAAAGAATGCTAACTAGTTAACATAATATAAGAATAAACAAGTTTAAATGATTTGTTATTGGTTGTGATCATATTCTAAAGATGTTTGGATTATTTAAAAGTATACAGCTCTCTTTCATATGTTGAGAGCTGTATCCATAAATTCATCTTGTGCTCAAAGTGCACCAGATTGATGCTTTCAACTTCAACATTTAAAAAAAAAATCTTCCCGGGGGTACATGCCCCCAGAGCCCCCTAGAGGAGGTGAGGACCCCACTAGAGGAGGTGAGGTCCAGCCCCAAATAAAGCAGGTTAAAATAATTAAATTGCATACATGTTCTTTTAGTAAACACTGAAAACGGGTCCCACAGACCCAAACAGCACACAAAGGTTAAAGGTAAGCATAGAATAATGTTAAAATGTGCTAAATATATACACTGCAAAAAAGAAAAGAAAAGAGGAGTAAAAGTAGCCCCTGACTTGTTTTATGTTTTTAAAGTAGCACTCATCCTAAAAAAGGTTGGTGACCCCTGCCCTATAGCAATAGATAAAAAACTTGAAAGTATGACCTTGAAGAGATACACACATTAAAAGCATTACATTAGGTTATTCGCATTTTGAAAGTAGAGGATATTGCTTTCGGTAGTATCTTTCACAATGAAGTGCTCATTCACATGTTGGAAGTTGTCTGAATTACATAACTGTCAACAGCTTGAGGGTGGATGTTTGCTGAGAGCTACTCCAGCTCATCCTTTGTTCTTGAGTCACGGTTTGAAGTTGTTGGGAGAGCTACCATTGGCAAAGTACAAAAGGTCACAGAGAGTGTGTTCATCTTTAATGACCAAAAACATAGGTAAAATATTAAAGAGTTCAAATTACATTTAGGTCATTATTCTGCTATGTTTCTTATATAGTATAAGTTTTAACTAGTCCATGGCTTCCAATTTTTCACTAGAATCACTTTTAAAACAGCGTTGCAATGCTGACCTTATACGACACCCTGAAAGAGAACTGAAATTCACTATTGTCTTGACACAAATCAATATCTGATCAGAAGCAAGCGAGTGAAGGGAACTGAAGAATAGGGCACTGATTGTATTGCCAGCACAACCGCTACCACGATCGAGGAGGAGGGATAGAAACAAAAGTCCCATTTCCACCCCCGTACTTCTTCAATCAGAAACGTTCCAGAGTAATAGACAAAGTGTAAAGAGCGTGGCAAGAGAGCAGTCACCAATAGCAAAGGCTGTAAACTGTATATAATCAATAACAGTGACAGGCTTGGGGGTGTTTATGGTTGGTCTGTTCAAAAGAGAGGGAAGAAGGTTAAAGCCTCAACCCTCAAAACTTTTTGGCATGGCTCAGCTACCATAAAACTGAAACCCTGGCTTGTTTTGTGATTGTTTTTGAAGCTTGACACATTGCAAAGTGCTGGATGAAGGCTTTAGGACAGAAAGTCTGACAACGTGCACATCAAATCCAGGGTAGCTCTTATGGGGTTGCAGGGAGCCAAGTGATTCCAAGTGACCCACTTACATTTAAAACTAAGATTTTAGTATTGCTCAAATATCCATCCAGCGTATGGAAGCATCTCTCATCTTGTTCATGTCCTCAAACTACCCCCTAAAAAATCTCGCTATGGTTTAAATTACTGTCACAATAACTAAGCGTACTAGAAACTTCCACACACAAACATACAGATGTTTGCATACCTCAACCTGTTGACAGATCTGGATGAGCTTTGCCATTTGGTTCTCCAGCTCGCTGTTCCTCTTCACCAGGTTGGTCAGGTTGTTCTCCAGGGTTTGCTGTTGGGAGGGAGGAGGAGGAGGAAGAGGAAGCAGGGACAGGGAGATAAAGCCACACATTAACACATGTACAGGGTGCAGAAGGTGCATCCACAGGACAACACAGGTTGTTGAAGCCAAAACGTGATTGTGTTTTATTATTCAGTTAAAAATCTGATATTATTATAATTTCTAAAATTATATATATGTGTGATCTTTTCATTAAAAACCAAAAATAAAGACTAAATTGTTCTCTATTATAAATATATATCTTGCTGCAGAATGCCCCAGTATGTGATGTTTTATTATTTTATTCATTTCTATTGAAAAAAAAAGGCATTTGTTTAAGTCCTGCACTGTTAGGTGGTGCTTAAGCCTATGTGTTACTTTAATACTGCACTAATATGATCTGACAGATATAGAGCAATTGAAGGCTATCAATACACACATACCTTGGGGTTAGCCCAAACACAGTGATTATGTAAAATACAGTGATACTAAATACATTGTTGATACAAAGACATGCTTTCGGTGACAACGGGAAATATTTCTGTACTAATTTTGCCTTGTGTTGTTCAGTTATTTTCTTTTTGATCATGGCATGAGGGTTGCTTAATAACATATGAAATCCATGCAAATACAGAGGAGGGAGCTATACATTAAAATGAATTCTAAAGCTGAGAAATATCAGGTTACACTGACAGCTTAATACCTACAACTGTAAAGCAACAATAAACTATAAATTGCTGCAAACGTAGATGACAACATATACAATCCCATAATTGCTTTTTAACAGCTACAAATGCTCATATTAGCTAACATATGGCCTGTAATGTAATAGTTTAACTGCCTGCTCTTGTAATACTTTACTTAAAAGCCAGAAGAAAAAAAAAGCGATCCCTAAAGAATAAAAACAAACAGAAACAAACACCTCCACTAGTGATCTAAATGATCAAACACTCAATTACTATCCCTTCACTGTGTCTGTTTATCAAATGCAAAACAAAAGACACACATAAATAAACGCAATCAAACACATTATACAGTACAAAAGATGAAAATGGAAACGAGCAGATAGTAAGTCAGAAATAGAACTGCCGTTGAAAAGGAAGCAAATCCTCGATGGCGGTGACGACGGTGAACATCAACACAACAAAAACAACAACCACAGCTGCAAAGAGAACAGGCGAACAAAGCAGCAGACAAGCAAGCGGGTGTTTGAAGTAGCTCTACGTATGCAAGTGAAGGGGGGGGGGGAGGGGGGCTGGGCAAGCACCTGGATTGTCTGGCTGTCTGACTGTCCGTCTGTCCTGTTTGTCAGGCAGCTTCCCTGCTTCCCAATATCTTCTTTGCCTGATTTACTCTGCCTGGATGTTGTGTATTTGACTTTGCACCCACTTAAGTATTAATCTCTCTGCTGCTTATCTTCTTCCCTGCCTCCACTCTTTATCCATCTACCTGTGTGCCTCTATGGAGGGATAGTGGAGGATGGGGAGGGTTTGAAAAAGGCAACCAGGGAACTCACCGCAGCGCTCGTCTTTGAAGCCTCCATTACCGCATCTGACACTCTGCCCGGGCTCACCTGATAAGCCTACGAACACACATACACACCCACATAAGTGCACACATAAACACACACACACACACAGGCAAACCCAAACGCACAATGTCTGCCATCTAAACACCACTGAAGAAGAGAACAACTCCCTGGTAAATTTGCCACAAACACTCTTCTTTTGGTCTTCTACATGAAAGCAGATGAGAGAGTGGCTCACAGTGTCTGGGAATATTTCCCTGTAACTGGAGCTGGAGTTTCATCACTGGAACTTGCATTCAGTTGTTGTGTTGCAGCCCTGCAAGTGTGTGTTTGTGTATGAGGGAGTTTGAAGTGGAACATCAGTGAGAGGGGACAGATGGGTCATTAATTAGCAGGCTGGAGACGAAGATGATTAATACATCAGAACACAGCTGCCGCCCTCGAGACAGAATTGAAACAAACTCCTCTGTCCTCTACATACATGCATCTGTGTGTGTGTGTGTGTGTGTGTGTGTGTGTGTGTGTGTGTGTGTGTGTGTGTTTCTGCCTGTCTTTATGTGTGTGTGGATTAGTAGGCATATCTGCATTTGTATAGTTATATCACATGATTGTGTCGCTGTGTATGCGTATGACATCTGCTTGTACCTGTTATTGAAAAAAAGCACTAAACTTTGTCTGTGTTTATCTGCTCTATAAATGGCCACAAAAAAGCGATTTTTTTGAGTGTGTGTAGATAGGTTTGTGCTTGACTTGTGTTGGCACTCCTGTGGCTTCAGCCCAGCAGGCAGGACGAGTGGCAGAGAGGGAGGCACAGCAACCGTCAACAACAAACTCATTAAAAAACACAACAGACATCAAAGACGGCTAGAACCACTCATAGAGCGAGAGGGAGTGGAGGAACACATGGATTGAGAGAGGAATGGGGGCACAGAAGGGTGTGATGGGTGGCAAAAGGTGCCTGCCAGAGTTTGATAGATGGCGACATGAAGGCGGTGGCAAAATGAAACGTCAAGCCAAACAAAGAAAACATTTTTATAAATTGCTATGACGGCTTATTCTGTCAAAAATGTTTTAGAGCAGCTATGTCAACAGTTACGGCTCCTAGACACGGCGGCGTGCGTTGTCGCTTGCCGGCGGGGGGGGCTGAAACTCGACCAACAACCAAATCACATGTATCTCCCGCCCCAGATACACAAGCACGCGGTTTGATTAGCTAGAGCTTGCACTGGCATATGATTCGATTGGCTGACACCTCCGTCGAGGCGGCAAAAGCAGAACATTGCTCTACTTTTGCACCAAGCACCGCAAGAGAAGCTACGCTTTGCTCCCACAATGCAGTTCGGCGAATCGTGACGTCACCCCATTCAAAGTGAATGGGCAGAAGCGCTGAAGCGGCAACGCACGCTGCCGTGTGTAGGGGCCGTTACGGTACGTCCACACAGCAGCGTTAAAAAAATCTTCCAACGCTTCTGCCCATTCACTTTGAATGG